CTGCTGAGGCCCCCAGGCGCCCCCAGTGCTGCTTGTTCTAATTTGGAGGACCATTTCAACAGAGCAGCCTGTGTGTGTTTTTCACAAATGTAAAACACGATACTGTTGATTTCTAAAGTTTTTCCAAAAAACATTTTAAAATTTTTATGTTTTATTTTTTTAAAGATTTATTTATTTATTTATTCATGATAGACACAGAGATTGAGAGAGAGGCAGAGACACAGGATGAGGGAGAAGCGGGCTCCATGCTGGGAGCCCGACGCGGGACTCGATCCCGGGACTCCAGGACCGTGCCTCGGGCCAAAGACAGGCACCAAACCGCTGAGCCACCCAGGGATCCCCTTTTTTAAAATTTTTAATAAGAAAATAGAATAAGGGGTGCCTGGCTGGCTCAGTCGGTAGAGCATGTGACTCTTGACCTCGGAGTTGTAAGTTCATGCCTCACTTTGGGGGCAGAGTTTACTTTAAAAAATGGGTTAAGATTGGTTTCCTTTTCTCTTACCCTAAATTATTTGCTTACTTACCTATCACAACTGGAAGAGAGAGAAGGTTGACAGTAATATGGCACAAAATAATTTAAATAAAATATATTTGGCTTCTGAAAATGTGTTCCATAGTTTTTACTGTAGTTCCTCCAGCCATAACTCAAAGGTTTTCATTGTACTTCCTGATTGTAAAGTCCTTATTAATTTTAGCTGGAGGAAAGCAGGAATGTTCAGAAGCAAATGAAGATTCTGCAGAAGAAGCAAGCCCAGATCGTGAAAGAGAAAGTTCACTTGCAGAGTGAACACAGCAAGGCTATCTTGGCAAGAAGCAAACTAGAGTCTCTTTGCAGGGAACTTCAGCGTCACAATAAGACTTTAAAGGTTAGTTGGTTCACTTTTATGTTTTTCAGGAGGGACTGACACTGACTTACCTTGTTTTATAATCACTGTGTACCTATTTGAAATAAATCTTGTCACTACATGGAGACAGATACCAACCACCTTACTACTCTTTTGCTTGGCCTAATGCTTCTTAATGAACCTCATACCTGGTCATGGGGAATCTAATTGAGATTGATGTTTAAAGCACAGCTTACTTGCCTGGAGCCCTGGCTTAGGAAGCTCAGAGTTGCCAGTTTTCTGCTGAGCACTGAGGTAATTATCATGTATGAGAAGCTGAGTTGAAACAGACTTGAAGCAGAGACTGAGTCTGGGGAGGGAAAACACCCATTGAGCTCCTTGGGGGCTGTTCATAAGCTGCATTGCCAAACCACCCTTGCCTGCCCCCCAGTACCCAGTGGCGAAGTACTTTTAGAATGACACTTAAATGATGGCTGAATATAAAGGAAGAGAGAGCAGGTGCCCAAAGATTAATTGATGCCAACAGGGGGAGAAGGAAAAAGAGCCAGAGACATGGAGGCAGGCCTGTCTTCATTTACAGCTTTGGTATGATTTTGACTGAGCAGTAGCTCCCATTAAACTGCCCCAGCATAGCAGATGTCCAAGGTCCTAGAATACAGGAACACCCAGGAAATGGATGTTTACCTACTCTGGGAGCTGTTAGTTTTCTCTTTGCTTTTGAACCCTTGGATTTAAATTCATTCATTAAAGTAGGTGGTATTTTTTTCCTATAGAAAAATCAACATTTTGATTAGACTGATAGCCGTTTAACCATGGTAAAACTTGTATCTTTTAACTGTTAAAACTTTTAACACTGGTATCTTTGGCAAGTGATGGAAGTAAGGTTTTCAAGACACGGATTCCTTAAGTCCCTTGCCTTGTAGGGATTTAGGTGTAACCCAGAAAGTAAGCTGCAGGAAAGGTCTCTCTCGTCAGGCAGATTTAAGATGTTTTTGTGTAACTAGTGAGGAGAGTATTTGGGAAGCTACGGTGGAGAGCTGGCCGTGTGGCAAGCTCTTTCAGTAAAGTGCATGGAGTTAAATTTATTTATTTTCAGGATGATGAATTTTAGATTGACAGGTGGCACTCATTTTCCAGCAGGGCAGTTTGCATCTCTGATTATCTACTAAGAAAAGCTGCCTGCTTATTAAATGAGCATCTTCTGGTCAAAGGAAAGGAATGATAGTTCAGAAGCAACACTTCAGGGTAGCAATAACAACCCCCATAGCAGCAGCTTCTTTTACAAGCATCTTCTCTATAGGTCTATACCATTAACAGAAATTATTTTGGATAATAAGGAAGAAAATATGCAGCAGGCACGAGAGGAGGAAGAAAGACGTAAAGAAGCCACTGCACACTTCCAAATTACTTTAAATGAAATACAAGCCCAGCTGGAACAGCATGACCTACACAACGCCAAACTCCGTCAGGAGAATATTGAACTGGGGGAGAAGCTAAAGAAGCTCATTGAACAGTATGCCCTGAGAGAGGAGGTAAAGCCGTTTTATTGCTTTAGACAGCTTCTCATTATTAGCAAGAACTTTTCATCATTTGGTATCAGAGGAAAACTCCCGTCATGGAATATTTTAGAACTTTTATATCTGCATAGTGGACATTGGGCTTTTCTTTGGAAAAACTCAGCCACTGGGAACAGGGGTCTTGGAGGTCATCACTTAGATAGCTGAGGAGTCCATACATTTGGGTAGGTGAGGCAGTTTCTTAAAGACGTGTTAAGTACTACTTGTCTTCCACTTGATATTAGAAGATGGTGTTCTTAGCATACAAATTTTCCTCCTTATCTACACTAATAATGAATAAATATTTGGCCTCCAAATAATGCTGTAACTCAGACATCGATGATAATCTGTACAGTCTACATTACCATTGTATTACACCTGTGTTTTAGATTTTTTTTTTGAATGAGGATTTTATACTATTTGGGAGGAAAAATAGAACCTATTTCCAAGCTCTCATACCCATTGAAGTAAAGTTTATTGGAACGATCCATGCCTGCCGATCTTGGTCATTGGCCTCCAATTAAGACTTTTTCAAGCTAGTTGGAAAGTTCAGAGGTAGTGTCTATTAAAAGCAAATAGGCAATAGCCTTTTTTTTTTTTTTTTAAGATTCCTCATTTTTAGAGGTCAGATGGGCAGAATTAGAGGCATCAGACTTTAAATAGTGCATCCACTGCCTTTGAAGTTAGGGAAATATGCTTTTATGTGTGTTGTAACCCTATGTAAGTAGATTAAAATAGCTAGTTAGGGATCCCTGGGTGGCGCAGCGGTTTGGCGCCTGCCTTTGGCCCAGGGCGCGATCCTGGAGACCCGGGATCGAATCCCACGTCGAGCTCCCAGTGCATGGAGCCTGCTTCTCCCTCTGCCTATGTCTCTGCCTCTCTCTCTCTCTCTCTCTCTCCCTGTGTGACTATCATAAATAAATAAAAAAAAATTAAAAAAAAATAAAATAGCTAGTTAAAGAAAAAAAAGATTGGTACCTCTATGGGTTATTGTATCCAGTTTTGAAGGCAAACTTTATTTTTTTTTTTAATTTTTTTTATTTATTTATGATAGTCACAGAGAGAGAGAGAGAGAGTCAGAGACACAGGCAGAGGGAGAAGCAGGCTCCATGCACCGGGAGCCCGACGTGGGATTCGATCCCGGGTCTCCAGGATCGCGCCCTGGGCCAAAGGCAGGCGCCAAACCGCTGCGCCACCCAGGGATCCCGAAGGCAAACTTTAGATCATACTAACTTAGAGTCTTACATTCAGACCTTCAAAAACTTATTTTTCCTGAAGATTTTTATTTGAGAAAGAGCGAGTAAGAGAGAACAAGAGAGAGCACAAGAGTGGGGAGGGGGCAGAAGGAGAGGAAGAAGCAGACTCAACTGTGCAAGGGAGCCCGGCACGAGCTTGATCCCAGGACCCTGGAATCATGACCTGAGCCGAAGGCAGATACTTAACTGACTGAGCCACCCAGGTGCCCTAAAGATTGTTTATTATTTAAGAGAGAGAGAGAATCTCAAGCAGACTCCCTACTGAGCAAGGAGCCCAACCTGTGGCTCAATCTCATGACCCCAAGATCATAACCTGAGCCAAAATCAAGAGTCGGAAGCTCGACTGACTGAGCCGCCCAGGTGCCCCTAAAAACTGTTACTGAAAAGATTTTCTTTTTAGTCACTCTTCTCTGCCTTTTGCTTTTTTTTTTTTAATGAAGAATATAGACTTAAAAGTAGAGAATATGTCATCTGGTTTTAGCAGATGAAACCATAGTTTCAGCTTTCTTCCCATCACCCTGCCCTTGGTTATTTTGACACAACCTCATGGTGTCCTACTATTCTGTTCATATATATTTGAGGGTGTACCTCAAAAAGATAAGGATTTTTTTTTTAAAAGTACAACCACAATATGATTTTCACACCTAAAAAAGTTAACAGTAATTACTTAATGTTAAATATCGAGTCATTGTTCAATTTTCTGTAGTCCCCCCGCATGCTTTTTTTTTTTTTTAAGCTGTTTCAATCAAGGTCTAAATAAAGCCCATCTGTTTCACTGGTTGATTGATCTTGAGTCTGTAACATAAAGATTTCCTCTTCATTCTTTTTTTTCTTACAGAATGTTTATTGAAGGAACTTTTTTATCTTAGAGAATAAATTTTTGTATTAGATTATAAAGCCCTCAAATTTCCCAAAATTATTCTTTTAGTTTTGTTTAATATGACAGTCTGGGGCAGCCTGGGTGGCTCAGCGGTTAAGCGCCGCCTTCGGCCCAGGGCGTGATCCTGGAGACCCGGGATCGAGTCCCACATCGGGCTCCCTGCAGGGAGCCTGCTTCTCCTTCTGCCTGTGTCTCTGCCTCTCTCTCTTCTCTCTGTGTGTCTCATGAATAAATAAATAATTTTTTTTAAAAAAGTGACAATCTGCCACATCATAGATGTAGAAAACTTGAAAATTATGTATGTTTAAATCACATTGCATGTGAGTCTTGTTTTTTATTTAAATTCTGTATATATATAGAATATATATATAATGTGTACATAGAGTACACATTAGTTTCAGATGTAGTATTCAATAGTTTATCAGTTGCGTATAACACCCAGTGCTCCTCACATCACATGCTCAAAAATATGGAACACTTCACAAATGTGCATGTCATCCTTGTGCAGGGGCCATGCTCTGCTTCTCTGTATTCTTCCAATTTTAGTTTATGTGCTGTCGAAGTGAGCACAAATCTTACTTATTTTGGATGTTATCAAATGTTCTTTGGTCAGGAAGAGTTACTCTTTCTACATCTGAGAAGGGATGTTCTCATGACTTTATTGTACATAAATAACCACTGAACAATTTCATTTGGAAATTATAATGACGTTTTACCAAATCTCTAACATGTGCTGAGCACTAGGCACCTTACCCAGCATAACCACTGCACTGGCTTAGACCGCTCTGCATTAGAGCATGATTCCCTGCCACTCAGAGGGGGGCACTGAGACTCAGCAAGGGGAATGGCTTCCCCAGGCCACACACTAGCCAGGATTTGACCTGGGGCCACTCCAACTGTCATGTGACAGCATGCTGCCTCCAACTGAGAAATTTGGGGAAATTTAAAGGGAAGAGGAAGATCCAGGAATTACTGCGTCTAGTCTGTGAGTTGAACAGTTTGATCTCCTCATCCATCTTTTTCTTGATACACTTTGAGCCTCATTTTCCATTGTAGGGCAGAAATAGGAAGTACAAGTATATGGCTGATGAGGCTCCTTGACAGCCCACCTCCAAAAGGGAGAAGGGGGTACAGGATAGTAGCGAGAAGGCTCCCTTACTGCAAATGTAGTGTAGGAGGGCTTGCAAGGTGAAGAAAGCACACGCTTCCGCAAGCACGGGGACCCAGTGTCCTTGGCTGTGGTGGTATAAGCAGGAAAAGCAGTGTGATAATAAGCAAAGTTTTGTAACTTGTGCTGTTTGCTCATCATTGTGTTCCTTTTTCATTAAGTGATGGAAGAAATTTTACTTCTCCCATAGCATATTGATAAAGTATTCAAACATAAGGAATTACAACAACAGCTTGTGGATGCCAAGCTTCAGCAGACGACACAGCTAATAAAAGAAGCTGATGAAAAACATCAAAGAGAGAGAGAGTTTGTAAGTTCTCTTTCTTAAAAAAAGAAATTTTTTTGTCAAAATTATAATCAAAGCCATTTTAAAACATTTAAACTTCTATTATTTAAACTTAATATAGTACCTGGTTCATGCTAACTGGTTTTTTGTTCTAGACTGAGAAGGGCATGTGTGTGTTAGAAAGTATTTTTTTTTTGTTGTTGTTGTTGTTTTTTTATACAGAAGATACACTGGAGAGATTAGACCAAGTTAGTGGAAAGATCTGCACTCATTTGACTTTTTTGTGGTTATTTCACTTCTTTTGTGTAATGGTCACCATGTTCAAGAACTATACCAATATTGAGCACATCACATTTGGCAGTTCAATTTAATATCAAGCTTACCAAACACTGGTCTCCTGTATACTGTTATATTTTGTTCCAAACAAATAACTTGAAACTAGGGAAACTATTTGTCTACTTACTCTGGTATAATTTTCTGATAAAATTTTAACAGAATTCTCTATGCCTAATCACTCAGCATCGTTCCCAGAGTGTATGTTCAGACTATATTGCCTGTCAGTAATTGTGAATACAGTGGAATCTCATTGGGTATGTATATTTAACATCTGCAAATTCAGCTTTATGTACTTAACCAAAAAAAAGAAAAGTGAGAAGTGATTATGGCAATGAGGACTATTCATCCAGCTTTCACTCAAGTAGCGTAGGCCTTGAGGAGAGCCTGGTATGAAGACTCTGTGAGTGGCCCTCATGCTGTGAACTTACCATGTTGAGTGTGAGTCTAGGCTTAAAAGAGACCTATTTTTCATACAGCACAATCCTTCTGCGAGAACTGCTAAGTATCCTGTGCGTAATTGAAGAAACAGTTGTTCTTTCCAAAGTGGGAGTAGAAGTTTCATACAGTCACACACATGTACATAGATTGCATGTATATACTTTGTAGTTGGTATAATGACTTTTTAGGGCTTATTTGGACTATATGTGACATTTTACTCCAGAGACTGAATTTCAGCAGTTGCTTATTACTATGCAATTTCACTATATAATTTTCTTAAAAACCCAGTGTATAAAAGCTTTCATCCACTTCTCCCTTTCTTTTTAAGAAGTGATCAGAAACTGGTCTCTGATTTCATTGCCTTGCTCTGTATCCTTTCACTCTGCCTCATCTTGACTCTCAAGGAGTAGAGTGGCTTTCTAAGTCACCTAGATGATGTCAAGATTCCTAGTCACGTTTTCTGCTAATACCAGACTTCTAATTATTTTCACCTGAAACATAACAATTTAACCCCGAGTTTTGTAAACCTATTCTTAGGTCTCCAGGGTACTCTTTCTAAGCAGTAAAAGATTATTCCAACATTTCTGAGTGTTACAAGTGGAACAGATTGAAGATAATAGGTAATGAACAATTGATATAACTGAAAGTTTTATCTATAGACTTGTAGTTCTTGCTAAAATAATGAGTGGAAGGATTAAGCCTAAGTCTCTCTCTGGTCATTTGACATAGTCATATTTGCAATTACTATTAGTATTTTGCCAGAATGTTTCTGTTTTCTAGTTATTAAAAGAAGCAACAGAATCGAGGCACAAATATGAACAAATGAAACAGCAAGAAGTACAACTAAAACAGCAGGTAACTTGACAGCAGGGGATAGTAGCATTTGTTATTAAAAAAACAACAGCAACTATGGCTCATTTGATATATACCTTAAATCTTCTCTAAGATGCTTGTGCTTGTTCCCAGCCAGAACTGAGAGTGGATCATGTGTCCCTCTTGGAATTTCCCTCTTAGTTTAGGGTGACCAGCTTATTCTGATTTGCCCAGGACTTTCCTGGTTTTAGCACTGAGTCCCGTGCCCCAGGAAACACTTAGGTCTCAGGCAGACTGGGACGGTCGGTGATGCTGTCTGCAGTGTCCCCTCTCCAATATCCCAGGTATTTCCTCCCTTTCTCAGTCTCTTTCCACGTGTGTCCGTTAATTTCCAACTAAAGAAAAACAAATCTTAAGATTATAGCTCTTTTATATTAAGTTGAATTATATGAAATTGCTGATATTCCTTTGACCTACTAAAATGGCAGTTTCATACAGTTGAACTTAAAATCTTCAGAATTTTGTGCTGTGAACACATAACCTACTTTTTTTTTAATTTTTTTAAATTTATTTATGATAGTCACACACACACAGAGATAGAGAGAGAGGCAGAGACATAGGCAGAGGGAGAAGCAGGCTCCATGCACCGGGAGCCCAACGTGGGATTCGATCCCGGGTCTCCAGGATCGCGCCCTGGGCCAAAGGCAGGCGCCAAACCACTGCGCCATCCAGGGATCCCGCACATAACCTACTTTGAAGACTGCCTATTAATTGCCATACAGTTCTAGTCTCAGAGCTGTGGAGATGGTGATTTTAATGGCGGCTCTCCCTACTTTTTCTTTTCTAAGTATATGATACATTATTGTTAAGTATAGTCACTGTGCTGTACATTAGATTCTCCAAACTTACTCTTTTTATAACTGAAAACTTGTACCCTGTGACCATCATCTTCAGATTTCCCCCCTCTCATCAGCCCCTGACAACCACCATTCCACTTGCTGTTTCTAGGGATTTGGCTTATTTTTAGATTCCATATATAAGTGAGATCATACAGTGTCTGTTCTCTGGCTTATTTCACTTAGCATAATCCCTTAACGGTCCATCCTGTCACAAATGGCAAGATTTCTTTTTTTTTTAATGGCTAAATAATACTCCATTGTGTGTGTGTGTGTGTGTGTATCCATTCATCTGTTAGTAAGCACTTAGGTTGTTTCCATATCTTGGCTGTTTTGGATATTGCTGGCAATGAACACAGAAGTGTTCATATATATTTCTTTCAGATGTGATTCTATCTCCTTCAGCTATATAGCCAGAAGTAGGATTCCTAGATTACTCAGTAGTTCTATTTTTATTTATTCATTTATTTATTTTAAAGATTTTATTCATTCATGAGAGAGACACAGGGAGACACAGGCAGAGGGAGAAGCAGGCTCCACACAAGGGAGCCCGACGTGGGACTCGATCCCAGGTCTCCAGGACCACACCCTGGGCTGAAGGTGGCGCTAACCGCTGAGCCACCCGGGCTGCCCCAGTAGTTCTATTTTTAATTTTGAGAAACCTCCATATTGGTTTTCATAGTAGCTGTGCCAACTTACCTTCCCACCAACAGTGCGTAAGAGTTCCCTTTTCTCCACACCCTTGTCAGTATTTGTCATCTCTTGTCTATTTTATAATAGCCATCCTAACAGGTGTGAGACGACATCTCATTGTGGTTTTGATTTGCATTTCCCAGATGAGTAGTGGTATTGAGCACCTTTTCATGTTCCTGTGGGCCATTTGTATGTCTTTGGAAAAATGTTAATTCAAGTCTTCTGTCCATTTTTTAATTGGATTATATGTGTTTTTTTGCTATTGAATTGCATGAATTCCTCATATGTTTTGTATATTAATCCCTTATTAGATGTGTGGTTTGCGGTTATTTTTACCTATTCCATGGGTTGCCTTTTCATTTTCTTGATTCTTTTGCTTTGCAGAAGCTTTTTAGTTCAGTGTAGTCCCACTTGTTGAGTTCTGCTTGTGTTGCTGGTGTTTTTGGTATCATAGCCAAAATTTCTGAGACCATTTTCAAGTTTTTTACTTATGTTTTCTTCCAGGAGTTTTATGGTTTCAGGTCTTATGTTTAAGTCTTTAATTTTTGCGAATAGTATTAAGACAGGCATCCAGTCTTCCAATGTCATTTATTGAAGAGACTATCCTTTCATTATTGAGTATTGTTGGCTCCCTTCAAATATTGGTTGACCCTATTGTATGGGTTTATTTCTGGGCTCTCAACTCTGTTCCTTTGGTCTGTGTCTGATTTTATGCTGGTAGCATACTGTTTTGATTGCTTTAGCTTTGTGGTATAGTTTGAAGTCAGGGAACATGGTGCCTCCATCCAGATTTGTCCTTTCTCAAGATTGCTTTGGCTATCCCAGCTCTTTTGTGGTTTCATTCAAATTTTAGGATTTTTTTTTTTCTGTTTCTGTAAAAGTACCATTGGGGTTTTGATAAGGATTAAATATAGATGGCTTTGGGTAGTGTAGACATTTT